AACCTTTGATTCAGAGAAACAAATAATTATTTAGGAGTTTAGACACTATAGTTTCCGAAGACACTACACTACCCAGAATCCCCAGCTATTGTTTGGGACTACAACACCCGCCTTGCTTTACAAACCCCGTGATTAGTCATCAAGCCCTGTGATTGGATGTTGGAGTGGCAGTGCGACAAGGTTACGCTGAGCGTCAACCAGTAGCGTGGCGTAGGGAGAAAATTAGGGGAAGCCAATAATACGTCCTTTCTTTTGGGTCGGGGGTGTGGTGGTCAATATGATAACGTAACCAGATGAGTGATTACAGCACCTGGTATCATTTTACACACATTTGTATCAGATGCAGGACTTGCACACGCCTGATATCTAACCGACAGGTCCGCACGCACTCTCCAGCCGAAACTCTAATAAGCATTCATTCACAAACTAAATTAGGAGACCTTTAACGTTTTACGTCCGATTCGCTCCTTTTTTCCTCGCTGTACACAGCTCCAGTTTGGGCATCGGCCTGTCATCAGATTTTATTTGTTGTTGCTGCTGTAGCGGAAGTTTAGTACAATTATTTTTGATGAAATACTCCAAATCTTCACCCTCCATAATTGCACTTGCTTCAGTTGCTAGCTACTTTCTAACGGCGGTGAGAGTGGTGCAGTGACGCTATCTATCTTCTATCGATTAGATTTATGATTCGGAAATTATAAAAGTAGGGTAGACATGTGGATATTATCCGGCTGAACAAAACGAGCATTTATCTAACAGGTTCGTTTTCCACTGACCTTATTTCAAGCTATTTTCCTAAATCCTATGGAGAAATCCCATTGCTTTTTTGTCGAGGGAAACCGAGCGCAGCTTACTTCCGGGTTTTAGGTGCGTCACTGCAACACTAGGTTGATGCGATTTGATTGGATTGTGAGGCAAGGGAAGCCAGCCACCTCTGGCTTCCCTTGGCATGGCCCTGACTAATCACAGGTTGGCAGGGGCATCACGTGAGCCTTGTCTGATTGGTCAATCCCTCCATTTTTTTTCACCAAGGGAAAACAGAGAGTGCAATCTACTGTTTCACCATAACATATAGAGGGGCGCTGTTTCACTCTTTGTAAAATACTCAATGAGAATGGGGGAGAGACGGGCCGGCAGCAACACACAGCAAAGAATTTCCGAAACTAAACGAAGTGTTTTTATTTATTTATTAAAATTATAACTACAATCCAAAAAAACAGGGGAAGCCTGGCTTCCCTTGGCCTCCAGGAGAAAACGCCACTGGCGTCACCAGCTCTTTGAAATGGAATGGAACCACGGCAGACTTTCCAAAACTGGAATTGGACGGGTCCAGCCCCCGGGTCCAGCCCCCCCCCCCCCCCCAGAACTACACATGCTGGCTATTGTGTGTTTCGCAACATGTTCTAAGACGTTTTCGTATTTCCCACAATTAGAAGTTGCCAGTATTAAACTGTGTACACCCTGGAGGTTTAGGGGATACGAAACACAGTGGTGTTATCAAATGTAAAACATATAATTAATAAATGGGTGAATTAATATACCCACATGCCAGCTAAGGTCAGAAGAGCTTTATTTAACAGCTGGTCTTATGTCTGTGACCCCTCCTGTTGTTCATTGATAAGCCTGAAACATGCACTTGTCAAGGTTCAGATGCAAATTGTGGAAATATGGCAGTAGCCATCGATCGTATTTTGACTCCACTACATGTATTTTAGTAACTAGATTATGATTAATGATGTGAAATATAAACAACCCTTAAATCAGACTTTATATAATAATATCAAACATAATATGACTATTAAATTTATTGTGAAATTAAAACAGAACGGTAAAGGAAAATACAGTTTCAATCTCTCGATTTCATCATCATTGTACCATGAACCTGTATAGAGCTGTAACAGTCAACAGCATGAGGAGTTGGAAAGGTAGTAAATAATATTTTTAAAAACTACAAAAAAATCCCTTTATATCAGCTGTGCACCTTTATGGTGTAAATATAACCTATCTACCAATTGGATCAAATATAAAAGTCAGCCGAATTAGTGTTGATACTGTAAGGAGACGTATTGTGTGAAAAGAAATGGAAGATGTTGTTTAATTGCTGATATATTTATGATCCACGTCACGTATTCAGTTTTGGCAGCATTTCTTAGTTCTTCTTCTGATCAGGGCTCTATAAATAAATATCTACGGCAGATATGTAATATTGAATGCAGCCGAACCGTGTATTACAAAGCCGTTATGTGATGACTTTCAAAGAGAAAAGCAAGAACGACTCGGAATAAAGTATTATTTTATTTAAAATTCGATTTCATATCGGATAAACACCATATCCCAACATGCATTGCTGCAATGTTTTAGCCCATCAAAACCTCTGAACAAAGAAAGGTGTCTCTCAGAATCGAAAGAGAAAAACCTATGGGAAAAGCATTGTACGAGATTGTAAGGCGAGACACCCCAGGTGAATAGGGTACTTTTTTTAACTTAAAGATATCAGCTAGATATTTCTCCAGATAATTACTTACAATAAGGCAATTGTTTTTTGTATTACAAGTTTTCTGAAATAGCATGTTTAAATATGCAAAGAACCATTATCTCATTAAATATGCACATATTTTAATACATTTCAGGAACCAAAATCTGAACTTTGGATAAAGCCAGGCTCAAAATTATTGTTTCATTTTGTAGTCATATTAGCATCTAAGGCTTTTACAGAAGGGATTTTGGATATCTCTTTTTATCACTCCATAAATCAGAAAATACTGTCAACAGCCCTAAAATATCAATTTTCGCCATGTGTTTAGGTATAAAATTAATGATATGAACAAACCCTTCTGTAAAAGTCTTCATAATATTGATAGGAATACAACTGGAAGGTTTGGTGTATGTACGTGCTACTGAAGTTGACATTTCGAACTCAGAGTAGGAGAAAAAACTCATTTTGAGAAAACGACCTTTAAAGATTGCAGTGAGGCGCTAGCTAAACCCTCCTGTTCTTTGGATGACAGCTTGCGCATCGACGCACTCCGTGAAGGTATTTCATGTTCGGGGTCATTTGTTTTTTGTATAACCTTGCTTCGTGCAAAAGACAATTGTTGTCGTCTTCTCTGTGAACGTTTTTTTCGCCGTTCTTTTGCCATTTTGAGATTTAAATTTCTAGAGGAAAGCTAACCAGGAAGTGTTTTAGCACATCACGTGACGCATCTGAACGAATCACGTTGTCAGAAATTGACACCAGCCAATGAGATTTCGTTTCTTGGTTTAAGACCCCTTTGTGCTTTCACGATTGGTTGCTGATACAAAGGAAATGACCATATTTGGATCAATCTAAGATAAACACTTAAATGTGTATTTTGTACGTTGTCCTTCCAAAAGCCTGAAAGAAAACATGTTATGGAATCAAAATAGCACAACATCTCAAAATGTACCAGTGCATGAAAAACGATGTTTTTGCCTGCCGTATCTCGCCTTAAACCAATAAATGTCGTATAATTAACAAGGATAAACTGATGTTTTTTAGTTGATGAGTACTGCAGATATCACTGTTAAATCATTTGATCATTGGTTTTATTATGAAAACGTCGAGACCGGAAATACTGTTTTCAACCTGTACATTTACATGGAGGCTGCCGCATACCTCAAATCATCTTCGTAATATCTATCAAACTATAGATCATACATATCGACTGGACGTGGATTCTAAAAGTACAATATACATTTCTCGCTAGAAATCTAATCAAAAAGCGTTTTAATGGCCAAACTATCTACATCCTACAATTTAGGATTTTACAGAGAGGGTTATTTGTGAATAAACAACCCTCTGTAACGTTTGCATTCAACGGGAGCACAAGAGGCCGACAATTTTAAAACGTAATTATAGGTCGTATTAAGCGCTTGAACAAACGACATATTTGGTCGTAATAATTGGGCCTGAACAATCTGCCTATTTGGTCGTATGAGTTGGAGGACTTGTTGATGCAAAATGCACTTTTGTACGTCTTTTATACATGAATATGTGTCCCCGGTGTTCCAGGGAACTCACCAAGTGTCAGAAAATACAACTCTCTCTTTTCCTCCATACCCAAATCCCCAAAACAAGGTACTGCAACGGATCTGATACAGACTGATCCAGATTTGAATTTTGAACTTTCTACGTTACAAAAGTGGTGCTCCGCTTACTGGTCTATTCTCTACCTATCAGGGGAATGAGAGGTTGGGCCACCGCCGACCATTGCCACTCGAAAGCGCTGGAGACGCTGTAGTACATATGCCAGGCCTGTAAGTGGCGCTGTAGTCTGCCACAAAAGCAGCGAAGAAGACTTCCCGCGCATGGTTGCCATGGTTGCCCTTCTGTTTATTCTCCGCTGTGGCTCTTTTTCTCCCTCCCTGAGGTGAGCGTTTGCTCCCGCTGCTGTAATTCATTGCAATCCCTCCCTCGCTGTAAATCTCTCCGGTAGTCCACCAGCAGATGACAAACACCCACCTCTCCGCCTCTTCCAAGGGACGAGGGGACCGTGCGGCAGAGTTTCAGTTAGATTTTTTTTCGCCGGTCAACATCTCCGTTAAAGTTTAAATCTTCCGGACAAAATTAGAAAAGTGCCGGTCAAAGGTCTTCTTTGTTATTTATTGGGCTTTAAAACAAATGAATAACGACTCTATTTAATCATATAATAAAACACGGAGGACGGAGATCTCTTTTTCTCCCCCTCTTCTCCCCGCTGCAGCCTAGCAGCTGATCTCAGAGCACGCTCCCCTCTCCTGCAGGGGGGCGTAGTCAGCTGCAGCTCACAGAATCAGCCCCCTGCAAAAACAGCGAGAGCCAATAGAGCGAAATGAGGCATGGCTAAAATGCAGGATCTTTTTGGTATTTTGAAAAAAAAAACGATATTTATATACTTTATATAGGTATGGCCCTACAATATATTGTTCAAATATAGCATGATAGGTCACCTTTAAGTTTTTAACTTGGATTCTAGTTTCTGATGTGCTCTGTGTTTCAGCGGTTCAGGGTCAGGATGGCTGGGGAGTGACTTACTCTTCTACTGAGATCTGTGCAGTGAAAGGATCAACGGTGGAAATAAGCTGCAGCTACACATACCCATCTACATGGGATGGTGGTGTTCACACAGTAGAGAAAACATTCTGGTCTACTAAACAGAAAGGTGGTGGACCTGTAGATCTGAGAACAGTCTCAGAGTACGCAGGTCGTGTAGAGGATCTCTGTGAAAACGACATCTGCACTCTGAGAATGAAAAACCTGAGAGAGAGCGACTCAGCTATGTACAGGTTCAGATTCCAACTAAACCAACCAGATGGAAAATATATTGGTTTACCTGGAGTCAGGTTGTCTGTCACAGGTAACATTTTCATTCATGTGTCATTTCCAAATGTTCAAAATCTAGAAAACAATAATATAAATGTGTACTTCTTTTATGATTTGTTGTATGTTTTTGTTAGTTTATTTGACTGTACAGTGTCTGGAGGTTGTAAAGTGCTTCATAAATAAAGCTGTATTGTATAGTTTTTATCTGAAATATCATTCCTGTTCTCTTCTTCACAAATCCAGATCTAACGGTGCAGGTTGAACCCAGATTTACTAACCGGGCAGAGCTGAAGTGTCAGAGCAGTTGTGATGTACCTTATGATCATTATGTCTGGTACAGGAACGGAGAGAAACCTACGACTGCAATATATTCTACTCTCATATTCACATTTGGTTCTACAGACAGATATTCCTGTGCTCTGAAAGGACATGAGGACTTCCCCTCTCCTGCAGTGTGTGAGTTTACCCATACACACACACTCACATTACAATGCAATTCAATTTCAGAGACAACCTCAATGGAGTATTCTTAATCTTCATATGGAGCCAGCAGTATAACTAAAACAGAAGCTTAACTGTAACCTTTACATAATTGTAAGAAAAGCAACATACAGATGAAATACATTTGGTTAGAGACCTCATTTACAAAATATCAACAATAAAAGGAAATCCTAGCAACAATAAACAAGGCAATTAAATTCTTAACAATAAAAAAATAAAATAAAAAACAACTGGAAGCGAGACCTCAATTAGAATAAAGCAACGTTTATGAAACAAGTAAAGACAACAAAAAATATGTTATAATAATTTCTCCTCCAGATGCTCCAAAGCCTCCCTCTGTGTCCGTGAGTCCCTCTGCTGAGATAGAGGAGGGCAGTTCAGTGACTCTGACCTGTAGCAGTGATGCTAACCCAGCAGCTAACTACACCTGGTACAAGGAGGACGAAGACTCTCCAAAAGCTTCAGGACAGATCTTCAACATCACTGACTTCAGAGCTGAACTCAGTGGGAGTTATTCCTGTGGAGCCCAGAACAAGTTAGGACGTAGTTACTCCACCTTAACTCTGAGTGTTGGAACAGGTAAGTTCTCTACATTCACCAGACCTGATTCACTTTGTAATCTGAAGCAACCCAGAACTAAAAACTGGTTACAGAGAAAATAAAACTGTGAATGTTTAGAGTGTCAGAAGTGGATGACACTGAAGGGATCTATCAATCTACGAGTGAGACCTATCACATTTGTGATTCTAGAGAGTTCAACAATGATAGTGAATATCCTCAGGACGACTCTGGGGGTCTTGATGCTGATTCCTGTGTTTCTCCTGGTTCTGTGGACGAGGTACAACAATAGAAATACACGCGTTCACTCATTCATCACCTTCCATCATCTTTTCGTTTCACTGTCATGAATTTGTATTTGTTGTTGTTGTATTAACTCCAGGAAGAAGAGAGCTCTGAGCTCCACCACTGAAGCACGTGAACCGGAAGAGATGGAGGTGAGAGAGAGAGGATGTAAATAGTCCCATAAATGCTCTGAAAAAGAGGAGTTAAGTGAACATGTCTTTTTAAGACAACTTGCTGAGAGGAAACCAGTGATGCATTTGCTCATAAAACATTGTCATCAACTAATCGTCTTCAAAATATAATACATTTTTGATGACATCTCATCATATATACAGTTTAATAATTAGGAGCCTGATGTTGTCTTCTCTCTCTTCATCAGTTGGACTCTATCTCTGAGTATGAGAACGACTCACACACTGCAGCACAGACAGAGGACACAGAGGAGCAGGAAGACATGGTGTGAAGTCCAGTCAGGTTAGAGCCTCCTGCATCAGATCACACAGGCCCACTCCACATGTAGAGTCACAGTTCCAGCTGTAACTTTACACAAAGTCTCTGTGATTCTCTTCAGATGCTCACCTGATGGAAACAAAGAAGAAGGACGTTGAAATGTCCCTGAGGAGAGCGAGGCTGTGCAGGATGTGTGCGAAGTGGATGTATTCACGTTCAACTCTTAAAGCTTTTATTGTCAGTTGTCAGTAGCAGCAGCTTGTAGGTTTAGAGCAGGGGTGCCCACACTTTGGGCCGGTGGGCTACTTTTGAAATGACCAGCTCACCGAGGTCTACCAACCAAAAATAAAATCTCAAATTTCAAGGGGCTGAATAACACGTTTTATTTATACATGGGATAACTACAGAAACAAATACATGAATACATAAAACTAAAATGGCATGTTAACCTCTCTCTATTTCTCTCTCTCTCTGTTTAGCGTTTACTATTTCTGTTTTGTTTGTGTAATCCCGAAACAAGGCGTCTGCTGCTTCTACGAAGGCTTCTTTCACCATCTCTCCATCTTGAAAGGATTTTTTGTGTTTGATTATAGCGTGACTCACTCGTAGAGATGCTTCAGTGGCTGCCTTTGCGGTGGATGTCGGCTTTAAGAAAAGTGACTGCTGTCCAGCTAATTGTGACTTAAGTTCCCTCACCTTTCTCTTTCTCTACTCGGAGGGAAGTCGCTGTCATATGCCTTGTGAACACTCCGATAATGCCTCTCCACGTTACATTTCTTTGGCAGAGCGACGCTTGCTTTACAAATAAGGCAAATCACCTTTGAATGTGACATCACAAAAAAATATTCTTCCTCCCATTCTGGGTGGAAGTGGTTTGTCTTTAGCTTCTTGCTCGGTCCCGCACTCATTTTGTTATTTGTCTCTTGTTTACATTAATTTGAGTTTTCCCGCACTTGACTGATTTTATATCGCTTTGCATTCTGGGTTAACAGACTGGAAAGCGATAGGTCGCTTTTTCTGTCAATCAAGTAAACTCCTGAATTAAGTGGCAGGGAGGCCAAGGGAGGAGGGAGCAAAACCTGTTTTGTCTATTATAACGGAGCTTGATTTATTTTTTTAATGAATGACTCGCGGTCTACCAGCATTGCCCCCGCGGGTGACCGGTCGCCCGCGGTCGACGTACTGGGCACCTCTGGTTTAGAGAATGAGCGGCTGGCAGCTTGAAGTGAATCATGTCGAGGTGTCAAACATGATTTATCGTTAAGACCAGCCGATGGTCAGGTGCTCTATATTACTGCTTCAACTATGTGTACATGCTTATTTGTTATATGCAGAGTTGTTGATATTACAAAAGCCTAGTCAAATTGTTTTTTTTAATTCCACATAATAAATAACTTTGAAAAATCCTCATCAGTGTCTTGGTTGATAACTATCCTGAGGTTAATAGATTCACCTTCAACTCCCAACATGTTTTAATGTCAGTTTCCAGTAGCAGCAGCTTGGTTAAGAAGAATGTGAAGTGAATCATGTCGAGGTGTCGAACATGATGTAGTGTTAAGATCAGCTGATGGTCATGTGCTATGACGTGCTGATTTAACTATACATGCTTATATGTTATGCAACCCGGTATCACGGCAAGACGTGAACATGTGACGATTTACCATGCTGGGAGACGTGAAGATGTCACGATTTCGTCCCTTCAAACGTGACAGCTACACGGTATTGTTAACCAGTGGAGAAATACAGCTGATAGAAAGGGACACCTGGTGGTTAAAGCACGTTATTGAATTGTATTATTAGATATTAATACTGTAGGATCCCTATAAAGTATATTCATTACTCGTTATTCTCTACTAATAGTTAATTAAAGACTGTATATAATGACTATTTTGCACATCCCTTTCAAGATTTTCTATGGTTTATTGACATATCATATTATACACGGTGTAGTTATGCAATGAATGAAAAACTTGGGTTGCAGGTTCCTCAACAGTGCATTACACAACATCAATATGTGTGTACCTCCACCATTAAACTGTCATATTCTGCACATTTCTTATACTATCTACATACATCTTATAAGAGTATAATATATATGTATAATATCAGTTAAAATAAGTGCTTAAACATAGTTAACATTGCAGGAAAGCAATATATTAGACGTTAAGTACTTTGTCAGGCTTAATATTTATCTGTAGATACAAATGTCACTGTGTGTGCTGTGTGCTCTGCATGTGTGACCATTAAAGAGGGTTTCATCCCTCCATTTTCTTCTTCTATACCCCCAAAGCTTTTTCCTTAAAAAGGTCTCCACTGGAACCTGAATTGGAATTGGTTAGAGGTGAGGAGTAGGTCTGTGACTACGTTCCACACTGCCCGGCCGGGAGATCCGTGCTAATAGAACCTCGAGAGGTCAGAGAAGGGAAAGGTTTTGGATAAAGTTTTAAATATAAGATCTAAGTTTTTAGGATTTAAGTGAAAGAGTAAGAAGTAAAATGTATAGGTAGAGAGGCACAACGTATCTTCGTCAATGCACTCTTATTAGATTATTTTATTTTATCACTATAAGCTTTATAAAAAAGGAAGTTCTTAAGCGCACTCTTAAAAACGGATAGGCTGTCTGCCGCCCGAACACAAACTGGAAGCTGATTCCACAAATGTGGAGCTTGATAAGAAAAGGCTCTGGCTCCCATTGTACTTTTAGAGACTCTAGGAACAACCAACAACCCTGCATTCTTGGAACGCAATGCCCTAATAGGACAGTAAGGTATGAGTTCTTTAAGGTAAGATGGCGCCTGCCCATTAAGGGCTTTGTAGGCGAGAAGAAGCATTTTAAATTCTATCCTGTGTTCTATAGGAAGCCAGTGTAAGGCAGCCAGAACAGGAGTAATGTGGTCCCTTTTCCTAACTCTGGTTAGTACACGAGCTGCAGCATTTTGAATCAGCTGAAGCGACTTGACTGACTTCTTGGTACACCCTGATAATAAAGAGTTACAATAATCCAGCCTTGAAGTAACAAATGCATGGACTAGTTTCTCTGCATCGTTTTGAGGCAAGATATGCCTAATTTTGGCAATGTTGCGTAGATGGAAGTAGGCGGTCCTTGAGATTGATTTTATGTGGGCGTTAAAGGATAAATCCTGATCAAATATAACACCAAGATTCCTTACAGTCTCACTGGAGGCCAAATTAATGCCATCCATAGTTAGTATATCCTTAGATAATTTGTTAAGTAGATTATTCGGGCCGAGTACAATAACTTCAGTTTTGGTCGTGTTTAACATCAAAAAGTTTAAGGTCATCCACATTTTTAAGTTCAAGGCAGTCTTGAATTTTATTTAGATGATTAATTTCATCAGGCTTGATTGATAAATATAGCATAACAGTGGAAATTTAAAGAATGATTCCTTATAATATTGCCTAACGGAAGCATATATAGTGTGAACAAAATAGGTCCGAGCACTGAGCCCTGTGGCACTCCATGGCTAACTTTGGTTTGCGTGGAAGATTCATCGTTGACACGTACAAACTGAGAGTGTTCAGATAGATAGGACCTAAACCAGTCTAAAGCAGTTCCCTGTATGCCAACTAAGTGCTCTAGTCTTTGCAATAAGATATCATGGTCGATAGTATCAAATGCAGGACTGAGATCGAGCAAAACAAGAATAGAGAGAAGTCCCTTGTCTGAGGCTATTAGAATGTCATTTGTGACTTTAACCAGAGCTGTCTCTGTGCTATGATGTGTTCTAAAGCCAGACTGAAAATCTTCAAATAAATCGTTGTTTTTTAAGTAATTTTTTAAGTAATTTTTTAAGTAGCTGTTTTGCGACTTCTTTCTCAAGAATCTTTGAGAGGAACGGAAGATTAGAAATAGGTCTATGGTTGGCTAAAACCTCTGGATCGAGGTTGTGCTTTTTAAGAAGCGGTTTTATCACTGCTACTTTGAATGATTGTGGAACATAGCCTGATAATAAAGACATATTCATAATATTTAATAAAGAAGTGCTAATTAATGGAAAAACTTCCTTCAACAGCTTAGTTGGAATTGGGTCTAACATACACGTTGATGGTTTAGAAGAGAGAATCATTGCATTTCATTGTTCAAGGTTTATGGCTGAAAAGCATTCTAGTTTACTATCTAGTGTAATATTAGAACTTACGTTTCCGGGAGCTGTTGATAACACTATACTGGTCAAAGGCAAGAGGTCATTAATTTTGTTTCTAAGAGTAACAATTTTATCGTTAAAAAAGCACATCAAATCATTACTACTGAGTGCTATGGGAATAGAAGGCTCAATCGAGCTGTGGCTTTCTGTCAGCCTGGCTACAGTGCTGAAAAGAAATCTTGCATTATTCTTATTCTCATCTATTAATGAAGAGTAGTAGGCTGCTCTCGCTTTACGCAGTGCTTTCTTATATTCATTGAGAGTAATATGCCAAATTAAACGAGATTCTTCAAGTTTAGTGGAACGCCATATCCTTTCAAGTTGTCTGGACTTTTGCTTTATTTTGCGGGTTTCGGCATTATGCCATGGAGCTAATCTATGTTGTTTTATTTTCTTCTTTTTCAAAGGAGCAACAGAGTCTAATTTTATTCGCAGCGCATCTGTGGCACTATCAACAACATGATCAATTTGGGGTGGTGTACATTTTGTATAAGTTTCCTCCCCTACATGCAGACATGCTATCGAGTTAAGTATTGGTGGAATCTCTTCCTTACATTTGGCTATAGCACTAACAGATAGGTTTCTGCTGCAGGAGCTTTTGACTAATGCTTTGTAGTCTCGTAACAGTACTTCAAAAGTTACTAAGAAATGGTCGGATAAAGCAGGATTATGCGGTTCGACTAATAGTTGCTCAATTTCAATACCATAAGTCAGAACAAGGTCGAGAGTGTGATTATAGCAGTGGGTTGGTTTATTTACACTCTGACAAAAACCAACAGAATCTAATATAGAGTTAAATGCAACAATAAGGCTATTTTTATCGTCGTCAACATGAATATTAAAGTCACCTACGATAATTACTTTATCTGTTTTAAGAACCAAAGTTGATAAAAACTCAGAGAATTCAGATAAGAATTCTGAATAAGGACCTGGTGCACGGTACACTGTAACAAATAAGATTGGCTGC